TTACTCTCTCTCTCTCTCTCTCTCTCTCTCTCTCTCTCTCTCTCTCTCAATCGTACATTTTAATGTTACATTTAATATTTATTTTTTTTACGTTTTAATTTATCTAATTTATTTAATTTAATCAATTGTACATTTAACGGAAGAACGTGTTTTAAATATTGTTGATCTTTAATGTTACAATGAATGAAAAATGGCGAAGTTTTTGAAAACCGCAAAATGTCGCAAAAGGAATATTTCATCGTTCGGAAATTAGTTATACTAGAAATGTTAGGAATTGCTGATTGACGTGTTTTCTTTGTAAAACAACTTGCAACAAATTCCTAACTGTTCCAGCGACAGATAACAAGGTTTACTTCGATAACTCGGACATGTCTGCGTTGGCATCGACTTCTCTCCATTTTCTTTTACAATCTTTAATCGTACGCAGTTTATCTCGTTATATATTACATAACTGCTGCATTGTAATGTAATAAAGACTACTATGATAATTTTGATAATGGTGATAATGAAAAGTCGCACTTGAACTGCGACGTAATTTTAAGGACGATACATCTATAAGAAGATTAATAAAAATATAAGATGTGTTTTTGTAATTTCCTGAAATTTTCGGTAATATATCCTCTATTCCAAGACGAAGAGAATAAAGGTGTTAATTAACAGTATTTAGAAATAAATAGAACAGTACGAATTTTCGAGATCTAATCGTGAGCGTACAGACTTAGTTTCGGAAAATAATTGCTCTCGCAAAAAATATGAACGCCCATATCATGGAATTTTCACGTCACACTTGTTTTTCCAAATTATTCCCCTAGGAGGGAAAATAATGAGAGAATCGCCAAAATAATGAAAGAACCGGAGGGTTCCGCGTTTGGATCGTTCGAGAAAATGATTTCGATAGTTGGCGACTCGGCGATCGGCAGGTTGTCGGTTCTCGATTTCGAGAACGACGCATCTCGATCGACGCGACAGATCGGCACGCGATTTTCAGTCGCCGTCGAGATCGTGGCCGAGAGGCCGAGATTCGACGAGTAGTCCATGGTTCGAGGGACGCGGGAATCGCGCGCGATCGCAGTCGTCTCCCCGTCGGGAGAGAAGATCGAAATTCAACTCGCGGCGGTCGCCACCGCCGCTGCTCGCATGGTGGAGTGGTCGAGTCGCGGGAGTCGGGTCGGGTCGGTAAACGCGGCCATGATTGTGCACGGCACGACGGCGCCACGGAAACGAGCGGTCCTCCGCGGAGGCTCTCTCCAACAGGCGGCGTGAACGCAGCCACGGCGTTCCTGTCCTCCACGAGCGGCTCGTCCAATCGCGCGCGACTCCCCGGTCACGTGACAGGCTCGGCCAATAGGCGACGCGGTCTGGAGTCCCGGCCGTTGTCGCCGAGTCGGTAGACGGGCATATTCTGACAAGCGTAGAAAAACTCGTCAACAGCGGCCGCCATTTTACGTTAGCGAACGTTAGCCGATGCTCGTGCGGTAACGGAGGGTCTCGCGATCGGTTTTCCCGAGCGAATTTCTGTGGCGAACGCGGCGGCCGCGACTGTGCCGATACCCGCGATCACGTTCGCTTGCTCGCGTCCCGATATCGCGCGCGAGTGCACGGGGATAAACGCTCATTTCCCGCTGATCGTTCGCGCGCCCCGTGTGTCGCAGTGTGCCGAGGCGAGAGAGAAGAGGAGAGGAAGATGGTACCCCAGAGGGCCTCGGGAGCGACGTCGTCGCCGTGAGCTAGCGCCGTGCGCGCAGCCAGTCGTTTGACGAGTCTCGTCGTGTGGCGAGCACGTACGATCCGCGGTGGTGTACATACGAGATTGTTGGTATTTTACCAAGAGACAGAGACGAGCGCGTGAGTCGCGAGGGCGATAGACCGTGTGCGTGTGTGGTGTGTGTGTGTGTGGTGTGTGTGGTGTGTGCCGCGCGCGAGAAAGAAGGAGAGGACGGAGAGCGAGATCGCTTGCCAGAGTGAGCGAGCGAGAGAGTGCGAGATATTCGGTGGTGCGTCGTGCGGAGAGTCGCGCGCGAGTCCGCGGTGAATCCGATCGAGACGAGAAGAGACGAGACGAGTCGCGGTGAGTCAGGTCGAAAGGCCAGTCGGGCTTCGAGTCGTTTGCGCGTCGCGCGTTCGTTCATCTCTCGGCGGTGGAGTCGCGACTCATCATCATCGTTGTCGTCGTTGTCGTTATCGTCGTCGTCGTCGTCGTTGCCGTTGCCGCTGCTACCGCCGCCACCGTCGTCGTCGTCGTCGTCGTCGTCGTCGTCGTCGTCGTCGTCCGTCGATCGTCTCTCTCGTTTTTAACGCACTGATCCGCCATCCCGTCCCGCCGGCGACGCGACGCGGTAGCAGTCCCGTCGTCGTTTGCCGGATTGAAGAGAAGTGTGTGAAAGAGAAACAGAGACAAGGACTGGGAGAAGCATCAGAGACATTACTCGTCTCCATCGGCGACATTCTCGTCGTCGTCGTCGCCGCCGTCGTCGTTGTAGTGGTGCTGCTGGTGCTGGTGATATCGGTATTGGTGCGTGTCTCGCGTGTGTTTTACGTGCCCCCGTTTTGTCTACCTGTGTCCTCGCGCGGGCTCTGACGCCGGGGGTTCGACGTTGACCCCGATCCCTACGATGCCCAATGGTTGACCGTGCACCGCAGGATGCTACACGGGGACGCTCCACGCGCCGCGGTTCTCATTGTTGTTGTTATGTTCGCAAGTACGATTGCGGCACGGTGAAATTGTTGCGCGGCTTCGCCGGCGATAGGGAACGTGTGATAGCTGTATTATCATC